TTTGCACGAATTTTGGACAGGTATAATTTTCGCTAGACATATCATTTTGAGCTGATTCTTGTTTCATTGTGTTCCTGGTTATCTTAAAAAACATTTTTTCTGTTGAACACAATTCTAATTCGGCCATTAAGTTGGTTGAATTTTTGCTTGACTGAAACCGGGTTCACTGGAATTTCCAGTGCTGCTGACCCTAATCGAAAAAAAACTGGGAAGAATTAACTGCGAATTTTTGCTTGAAAATTGGACTGTATAACCTTCTTGTTTTGAAAGTTTCAGGTAAAATTTAAGCTCAATTTATTCAGGACCAGAGAGTTGTGCACTGAACAAGCACATAAGGTCCACTGCTGACTTCCAGTGACACTCCAGGCAGACAGGGCTAACTTTGGATGAGCATATCTCTTTCCCTGTTTGGAAATTTTGTTTATAAAAATTCCTGCATTTAATTCAGTGTTTTAGCTTTAAATTTTTAGTTTTGAGTTTTTGCTAATTTTGTCTTTTTCACGTTCGAAAAAGTTTTACAAAAATACTGCCTCAGTGTGTTTCAATTCTGCCAGTTTTCAGAATTTTTGCCTACTTTCGAATTTTTGATTTTTCTTTGGTCCAGTGCTATTTCTGTGGTGTTGAGCTTTATATGTCTTGTAGAACTTGCAAAGAACTTGGTGAAAATTATATTGAATTTAGAGATCAATACTTAGAGTTCTTAGCATCTTCTTCTCTTCCAAACACCATAGTTGATAATTCTGTGATTTTGGACAGTATGGGCTGATAGATTGCATGGTAATGAACATGAAATGCCTGCTAGGAGGAGTATTAGAGAGATGGTAGCACCCACTGACACATTTAGACCTAGTGGCTTGTTTTTTGAATTTACAAGAAAAAATGAATATGAAATCAAACCTTCATTGATTAATGCTTTGCCCAAATTCCATGGCCTTGCAGGTGAGGATCCTAATAGGCATCTTCAAATACTTGAGAGGGTTTGTTCAACCATGAAGCCTCCCACAGCAAACTTGGAGAATTTGATGCTCAAGGTCTTCTATTTTACTCTTGAGGACAAAGCAATCACATGGTTCAATACTCTTGCCACAAGGACCATCAATTCTTGGGTGGAGATGCGAAATTGCTTCCTTGAGAAATATTTTCCAGCAACCAAGTATTCTCAACTAAGGAAGCAAATCATGGGGATTCAACAACAACCCTCAAGAATCTCTTTATGAGTATTGGATGAGGTTTCTTGAGTTGCTTGCAAAATGTCCATACCTAAATGTGGGCAAGGAGTTCCTCATTGATTATTTCCATGTGGGGTTGCAAATTCATGATAGAGAGACCATAGATGCTGCTGCAATGGATCTCTTATTAGATTTTCCACCGGATGATGCATGGACCTTGTTGGAAAAGCTTGCAAATAATAACCAACAATATAGCTCAAGAGATGCAAGGGGTGTGTCACCAAGTGGGCCAATCTTCTATTGCTAATTCCCAATTGGGAGGATATCTACTCTCAATTGGATTTTCTCAAGATGTCTATCTCCAATCCTCCACAAGCTCAGATTGCTTCTATTCCAATGCTCTAGTGGCTCCTATTTGTGGTATATGCAATTCAACAAAGCATATCACCTCTAATTGCATGCATGCTCAAGATGTTGGGGCTGTGTATCAACAACAAAGGCCCTACAATTATCAACATAATCAAGGGGCAAGGAACAATTTTGAGGCTAACTATGGGAGCACATATAACCCAAGTTGGAGGCAGCACCCTAACTTCAGCTACAAGGGTAATCAAGAGGTTGTGCAAGCCAAGAATTCTCAAGTGATCCCTATTCAAGATGGTGGAGGTGATAAACAAATGTATTCCTACCTTGAGAGGATGGGTGATGCTATGTTTTCTATGGGCCAAAAGTTTGATTCTCATGTGTCTAGGGCAGAATCGAAAATGGACATGATGCTTAAGAGGCTAGACAATCTTGAATCAAAGCAACAAAGCACTGATTTGGTGGTACAACAATTTGGGAATTCAAATAGCATTAGCCAAGCTCAAGGAAGTGGAAAGCTCCCAACTCAACCTGTCATCAATCCAAAGAGCCTTAGTGCAATTGAGTTGAGGAGTGGAAGAGTTCTTGAAGCCATTCCAAGTGCCTCAAACCATGGTGGCAGCAAGCCTAATGAGGTTATTTCAAGGAATTCTCAAATTTGTGAAGGAAGTCCACTTTCTCTTGCTGATTTCACGTGATTCCACTTGCTGTGAAGCAAGCTAAATGTGCATCCAAGTGCCTCACATAGCCTCAACAACACGACTCCTATTTCTCTAAGTCCTCAAGTGATGATGATGAGGATGACTCTATTGAAGAGATTGTAGTTGAGGATGCAAAGGGGCAAGATCAGCCCTGAATGCTCAAGAAAAAGAGGTGAAATTGAGCTCAAATCAAGGCCAAGATAGTGCTGGAACAGCCACGGTTCATCCATCTTCTAAGGCAAATGAGAATGATTCAAGCAAGCCTAAGGAGAAAAGAGGTGTTGGGAAGAAGAGAGCCTCAAAAGAATATCAAATTGGGGACCCTATTCCAAGGGATATGCCATTCCCTAAGGCCTTGACTAGATTTGCTAAGAAAGGGCAAGAAGAAGATAGGCATGATGTGTTTGATATGTTGAAGAAGGTGGAAGTGAACATACCACTTCTTGAGATGATAAAAAGCATGCCTAAGTGTGCAAAGTTTTTGAAGGAGTTGTGCACTAATAAAAGGGGATTCAAACCATTGGCTACAGTTCAATGAGTCCTAATATTAGTGCTGTCTTCAAGCCACAACTCCCTCTAAAGTGTAGAGATCCGGGGGCATGTACCATTCCTTGTCAAATAGGGAATGTGTTTGTTCAAGAAGCCTTGATTGACCTAGGGGCAGCTATCAATGTGATGCCCACTCACATTTATTCTTCCCTTAATCTTGGTGGTCTTCAAGATTGTAGTGTCATCTTGCAACTAGCCGACCGGAGCACTAGGAAGCCTAAGGGATTCTTGGAAGACATCTTAGTGAAGGTCAAGGACTTGGTTTTTCCAGCAGATTTTTATGTGTTGGACATGCAAGAAGGAGGTCAAGGCACACTCATCCTTGGGAGACCTTTTATGATGACATCAAGTACTATATTGAACATGAAGGAAGGTAAACTTACCATGGAGTTTTTGGACAGCAAGATTGAATTTAACATATTTGATAGCTTGAAAACTCTTATGTTGATTATAGCCTTCATTTTGTGGATTGCATTGATGATACACTTGATGGAATCATTGATGAATTTCTATGCATCCTAGCTTGGATGATGTTGCATCTTTGCCTAGCTTCACTTGTTCATGCACTCATGACTCTATTTGTGTGAATTGCAATAACATAGTGTTAATTTTGTCTAATTTGAAATCTCAAGATGAATGCATTCACTTGAGCATGAGCATTTGAATGGCAGCACACTTGACATGCATCACTCATCTACTTGCACTCCATTTGAAGCACTTGTGTTGTCTAGTTCCTCACATGACCAAACATATGCTTCCTTGAGTGATTTGCTTGCATTAGATGAGTTTGATTTGAGTATCAATTCTGAAATTCTGTTGATTTAGTGATTGAATCAAGTGATGAGAGTGAAATTGCATCTAATGATGGCCCTAGTTCATCTTCCACATGTCATTTTGCATCACATCATTTGATTTCTTCTAGTGAATTTAATTCTGGAATTTTGACAGCTTTGATCCTTTTGTGCCTAATCATTCTCCAAGGTTGGAGGAGTGTTCTACTTGTGATGTTTCAGGTTTAGGGACACTTGAAAGGCATGAACAAAGTGATTTTGGGGCTGTTAATGATCCAAGGGGCGTGCAAATTGGTGCTGAAAGTCCAGAATCAGATCTGCCGAACCTGGAATTAATTCTGGAGCAAGCCAATCAGATCTGGACGTGAGGCACAAGGTTGGAACCAAGCAAGTCATTTGGACGAAATTTTTCACACAGCAGCTGTGAGAAGCTTGGACATGCCACTTGAAGAGGAAGACATGGATCTAGCAAGGCAAATTCAAGTGCAAAAGATCCCTCCAAGCATCATTGAGCCACCCAATCTGGAGTTGAAGCCACTTCCTTCACATCTTAAGTATTCTTACTTAAGAAATGGTAATCAACTTCCTATTATTGTTTCTTCTTCACTAACCCCTATGGAAGAGTCTTTGTTGTGTGACGTAGTGAGGAAGAACATTGAGGCTATTGGGTGGACACTTGGAGACATTCCTGGAATTAGCCCTCAAACTTGCACACATAGGATCATGTTGGAGGAAAATGCCAAGGCAATAAGGCAGCCACAAAGGAGGTTGAATCCTCTCATACTTGATGTGGTAAAGAAGGAGGTCACCAAACTTGAGTGCAGGTATAATCTACCCTATTAGTGATAGTGAATGGGTGTCTCCGGTGCAAGTTGTGCCCAAGAAGAGTGGAATTACTGTGGTAAAGAATGAACATGATGAATTGATTCCTACTAGGGTACAAAATAGTTGGAGGGTATGCATTGATTATAGGAGGTTGAATGAGGCAACCAAGAAAGACCATTTCCCTCTCCCATTTATTGATCAAATGTTAGAAAGATTAGGGGGGAAATCTCATTATTGCTTTCTTGATGGATATAGTGGTTATTTTCAGATTTGCATTGATTCCAGTTGATCACAAAAACCACTTTCACTTGCCCATTTGGTACCTTTGCATATAAAAGAATGCCTTTTGGATTGTGTAATGCTCCAGGGACCTTCCAAAGATGCATGTTTGGTATTTTTAGTGATTTTATTGAAAATTGCATGGAAGTGTTCATGGATGATTTCACAATTCATGGGGATTCTTATTCTTCTTGCTTGAGAAATCTTGATAAAGTCCTTGCTAGATGTGTGGAGAAGAACTTGGTTTTGAACTTTGAGAAGTGCCATTTTATGGTTGAGCAAGGGATTGTCTTGGGCCACTTGGTTTCAAGCCGTGGCATTGAGGTGGATAGGGCCAAAATTGAAGTGATTTCATCTCTTCCCTATCCAACTAATGTCAAGGACTTGAGATCTTTCCTTGGCCATGTGGGTTTTTATAGAAGATTTATTAAAGATTTTTCAAAGATTGCACATCCCTTGTCTCAATTACTTCAAAAAGATGTCAAATTTGAGTTCTCTCCAAGTTGTAGAGATGCATTTGATGCTTTGAAGGCTAAGCTTGTTTCCCCTCCTATTTTGAGGAGTCCTAATTGGTTGAACCCATTTGAGATTTCATGTGATGCCTCTAATTTTGCTGTTGGGGCTATGTTGGGACAAAGGGAAAACAAGCTACCTTATGTCATTGCATATGCATCTAGGACTTTAGACAAAGCACAATGCAATTACACTACAACTGAAAAAAAATTGTATGCATTAGTGTTTGCTCTTGACAAGTTTAGATCTTACTTGTTGCATTCCAAGGTTGTTTGTTTTACAGATCATGCGGCCTTGAAGTACCTTTTAAAGAAGAAGGACACCAAGCCACGTTTGCTTAGATGGATGCTTCTACTTCAAGAGTTCAATTTGAGATCATTGATAGGAGTGGAGCAACAAATCATGTGGCGGATCACTTGAGTCGATTGCATTATGACTCCATTATGGTGAATTCCTCTTTTGATTTCCCTTGTGATGAGTTTAGGGACGAGTCATTATGTGCTATTTCTTTCCCATGATGTTGTTTGGTATTCTGATTTGGTCAATTTGTTGGTGCATAATGTGTTTCCAAATGGGATTACTAGACATGCTAGGGAGAAGCTTGCTAGGGAAAGTAGATACTATGTTTGGGATTCACCTACTCTTTGGAGATTGTGTAGTGATGGTGTCATTAGGAGATGTGTTCCTGATGTTGAGATTGATGATGTGTTGAGGATGTGTCATACTTATGCATGTGGTGGTCATTTTGGGGTTAGGAGGACCGGACAGAAGGTCTTAGATTGTGGTTTATATTGGCCATCTCTTTTTAAAGATGCACATCAATTTTGCAAAGCATGTCATGCATGTCAACATTTTGGGAGTTTGGGAAAGAGACATGAAATGCCACAGGTGCCCATTATATTTTGTGAGATCTTTGATGTTTGGGGTATGGATTTCATGGGTCCTTTTCCCTCTTCCAATGGTTGTGAATATATATTGCTCTGTGTTGATTTTGTTTCTAGGTGGGTTGAGGCTATCCCCACTAGAACTAATGATGTCAAAGTTGTGGCAAAGTTTCTTTTGTCTCATGTGTTTTACAGGTTTGGCATCCCAAGAGCAATCATCACAGACCAAGGGACACACTTTTGCAACAAGACTATCTCCTCTTTGCTTCAGAAATATGGTGTTCTACACAAGGTGGCAACCCCATATCATCCTCAAACAAATGGGTTGGCTGAGTGTTCGAACAAGGAGATCAAGTCTATCCTCCAAAAGATTGTGAGACCGAATAGGAAGGATTGGAGCTCAAGACTTGAGGAGGCTCTTTGGGCACACCTATTGGGATGTCTCCATTTAGGTTGGTCTATGGTAAGCAATGTCAACCTCCCGGTAGAGATTGAGCACAAAGCCTATTGGGCTGTGAAGGCTTGTGCATTTGGTGAGGAGGGTGTAGCTGCCTCTAGGAAGCTCCAACTTCAAGAATTGGAGGAGTTGAGATTGAAAGCATATGAGAGCTCTAAATTGTACAAGGAAAAAGCAAAATTCATTCATGATAAATGTATTTTGAGGAAGCATTTTCAAGTGGGAGATAAAGTGCTTAAGTTCAAGACAAGGCTCAAGCTCATTGGTGGCAAACTTCAATCCAAATGGGAGGGCCCTTACATTGTGGAGGAAATTTTTGACTATGGCACTCTCACCCTCAAAGATCCTCAAAGTGGCTTAACATTCAAGGCAAATGGCCACTTGTGCAAGAAATTTCATGAGGGAGAATCTTCCACATTGCTTGCTGAAATGAGATTCAAAGATCCTCCATGAGTCTTCAAAGGTTGTATCTCTCCTTATTTCTTTTTGATTGATTTGATTGATTCACAAAGCACACAAGTGGAGCACTACTTGGGATATGCTTGCTGTCACATATGCACACATGTGGTACACCATTCTTTGCTTGTGTTTGTGTTTGTGAATATCATTTTGAGTTCAAGTGTGGGGGGAGATGCAACCTGATTCATTAGGTTTAGAAAAACAAAAAAAAAACAAAAAACGAAATTCCTTTTGCATTGTTATGTTAGTTTTTGTTGTTTCTTTGTTTTCCTTTGTTTCCCTTTGCTGTTTAGTTTAGGGTTTTCGAAAGAAAAAAAATTTTTTTGATTTTTTTTCCACACTTGTACATGCTGTACAAATTTGATTTAATTTTTCCCATTATGTGTTTTGCATGCATTAGGGACAATGCATTGTTTAAGTGTGGGGGAAAGTGTGTTTTTGAAAAAAAAAAAACTTTTGTTTTGCGAGCAATCTTGAGTATTGAAGATGATCTTAGTTTTTGCATTTGAAGTTTGAACTTTTGAGATGTTGCTTTCTTTAGCTTAAATCTGTTTTGAAGCAAGAAACCATTTGGTTTAGTGTAATTGATTAAGAGAGGCAATAATAGACTATATGGAAGGGGCCTTCAACCATTGAGAGATCTATGTTCCTTGGTTTTGTTAATCCTCTAGAACTTGTTTTCTCTCTTACTTGAGGCTACATTTGTGCATTGGTTGTAGGGAAAGTGATTATGGCCATCATTAAAGTGCCCAAGGCCTTTTAGCTAATCCTTGATTACTTGATTATCCCTTGCTTAGCCAAATTGAGCCTTCTATTGTTTTGTCATTTTTAAACACTTGACCTATTTTGGATAGATTGCATGTATTTTCATTTGGTATGTTTCAATGTACATTGACTATTTTTAATTTAACTAGTAGATAACATCTATTGGGATCTATTTCATTCATTCATATTGGCCATGCCATTTTATTTTTATGATTAGGAACATTTCTTGAGCTGTACCCAAATGTTAGAAGCTATGCTTGAAAAAAAAAGAAAAAAAAAACGAAATTAAGAAGAAACAGAAAGAGAAAAAAACAAAACAAAGAAAGAAGAAAAAAAAGATTGTAGAAAAAGAAAATATATTTGAGAAAAAAAAGAGATCCAAAGTGGATCAAAGAAAAGCAAAAGAAAGAGTTTGGATAAGCAAGTTTCCTTGGGTTTGCTATTTGATTTAGTTGTTCCTATTTGTAGATTCTCATTTCATCTCATTCTTGGCCAATTATTCATTCCATCCATGATCCCTATTATGTTATATATTGGGTTTAGTTTTAAGTAGTCTTGTATATTGTGCATACCTGCATTGTGGCCAAGACAAGTTTCTTGAGCCAAACCCTACCCCTTTCACATGCAAGTCTAAGTGTACCATTCATTGAGCACATTACATCCTTTGAAAGTCCATATGATTCTTGAGAACCCTTGCATCTTAGTAGTTGAGAGATAGAGGGATTACAAGCCTATGGTAGGATGACTTGTCAAGGAACTTGAGTGATATTTGTACCCTTATACATCGAGTGCTAGAGTGAAACACTAATCAGGTGAGGTTTCTCTTTGAGATTACATTCTTGCAAATGGTTACTTGTGATGTATTCAGGTTTTCTCTAAAGATTGCAACATTGATTTAGTTCTTATTTGAGTGCATTCACTTTGAGATTTAGATTTACTCTTGAGAGTTTGCATCTTTGTGTGGTTTTCTTTTCTAGGTTTTAGAGAGTTTTGCCCAGAGAGCAAAATTCAAGTGTGGGAGAATTGATCTATATCATATTTTACATGTTATACACTTGGTTTTTGACATCAAATTGTGCATAATAGGGTTTAATTTCTAGTTTTGAGTTGTCATTTCTATATTAACTCTATGAACCCTAATAATGCTATTTGATGATTGTTTTGACACTTTCATACCCTAATTGTGATCTTGGGCCTTAATTCTCTTTTCTTTCCCTTTTTAATTGTCTTTTCAGGATTTATTTAGTTTTGTATCTTTTATTTTCAGACTCTTGAGGAAGCAAATTTGGAATCAAGGAGCAATGACTAAAGTCAACCTCATTGGAGAATTCAAGAGCAAGAGAGAGAGGGCTTATTTGGAATTTTAATTCTAGAATTGAAGAGGCTGTGATATTGGCACCTAATTTCAGAAATTAATTGGAGGAATTAATTAAATAAAATATTAGGAGCATGTGCGTGACTTTGTGCGTGACTCAAATCTGATTTCAAGAAGCATTGCATGACATCATCAAGGGAAAACAAGGAAGCATTTGGTGCGTGATATAATGCTGATTCAAAGAAGGCATTGGGTGACATCATCATGAGGATTAACCAAGAATATAAGATGCGTGACTTCATAACTGAATCCCTGAAGAGTTACGTGGCAGCTGGCTGAAGCTTAATTGAAGTCACATGGTCTACACTTCATTCACAATTTCCATGCTTCCTTGTCCAGATCAGATTGGCGCCATTCTTCCTCTGATTTTCCAGAATTATTTGCTCAATTTTTAATTCATTTTCCAGCTCATAATTAGCCACATTCAGATCTGGAACTTTGGTTTCATCACCATTTAGCTTTGGAATTATCAACCATTCACATTATTCACACATACATAAGCCTAGATTTCAGACTAGAGTCTCATTCTACACATTGATCTTCTCTCTCTAGGTCTGATATCTTCCATCTCCAGCCTCCACAATTCACGCCATTCCTCAAGTATTGGGAGTTCCAGATCTGGTTCTCCTCCATTTCCAGCTCCAAGTTCGTTTTTCCAGCATCAATTCCTCATCCAATTTCGTTTTTCTTCCATCCTTAATCCAGATTGTTCATCAAGTGTTCATTATCAATTCCATCATTCCAGATTTGTTCCTTCATTTCCTTCATCATTTTTTCCTTCAATTTTCGTTCATGTTCTTCCATTGCCCAGACTTGTTTCTTATCTTTCCTCTTTGATTCTTCCACCTTGTGTCATTCTCTTCCCCATTCTTCATCAATTTCGTTCCTCATCTTTCCAATTCCAGCATTAATTTCGTCCATATTCAGTCACATATTTTCCAGATTCAAGATGTCTTCTCAAGCTCAAGGTCTGATTCAAGCAAAGAGGAAGAGCATGAGAGGCTGATCATTTAGAGCTCCAAGAAAGATGACTTGACATTATGAGATTTCCAGATTTGTAATTGTTGTTCATTTTCTTGTATACATGTTCTTGTCTTGATTCTTTGAGGATTTCGAATTTTGAACCTGTTTTGGTTGAAGACTTTGTGATTCTAATTCAGATTTGATGAGAATATGAATGTTGAATTTAGATTTTCATGCTATTTTTAGTTCTGGAATTTATGATTTACCTTGATGTTCTAGGGTTATTTCATAAGTTCTTGCTGATTCTTGTTCAAGTTCTTGTGTAGACTTGAGTTAGATCCATATTGGTTATATGAATTTGACTTAAGCTGTTTTTCTTCCACTAGTTTTGGTCTGAAACTTGTGTAGAACAAGGCTGAATATAGTGTTAATTTCTAAGTTCACTTGACCTAGATTCATTAGTGTCCATTGAGTCTAATGGTGCACCACACTTAGAGGTTTCTAAGTGTCTCATTTTAGGTTAATCAAGAAGGTTTATGATGTTATAATTCTGAAAATCAATGATTAATGTTAGGAAATCTGACTTGGGCTCACCATAATCATCATTCATTTTATTCCAACTAAAACAGAATTTTGCAAACATTTATTGTTGCATTATAGAGTTAGTTTAGTCACTTGAAAATTCAGATTAATTTGTAAGCATTTGAACAATGATTTGTATGCTTTGCTCTCTAGGGAAATGACCTAGAATACTCACTTCTACATTCTAGTAAAATTTGATAACCCAAGGTGACTAAAGGGTTCATCACTGATTCACATTATTAATTTACTTTAATTGGCTTAAATTCTTTAATGATTATAGGATTCAATGATTCACAACACTTTGAAAGTTTTAGAGTGTTCTTCATTAAGCTAATTGTTTTTATATGTGTGGTTGCAAATCTGGAATTCAAGGACACAAGGGATTCTAACTTAAGCTTATCATCTCATTCATTTATCTCATCACTTTAAAATCAGAAATTACAAACATCTAATTTTTTTCATTTTAGACTTAGCTGAATCATATCTTCATTCTTTTAATTTATTGGCATTTGAATTAGAAATTTTTATGCATTGCTCTCTTGGGAGATGACCTGGAATGTTCCCAATTGATGGTCTGAAAGTGACTAAGGGTTTCATCAATTGGTGCCGTTGCCAAGGAGAACTAGCCATACAAATTGTTGTTTCAATTGCTATTTTAATTTTTGTTCATTTCTGTTAAGTTTGGAATTTGTGACTGTGGTGGCTAGCATGTGTAATTGAGCATTTGATCTCTTTGTTGATCTTGTTTGCTATTGGATTTAGCCATTAAGTCATTGTTTCTAGATGTGGGTTCTAAATCTGCCAAGTAAGCTCATTGGTTTGCGAGACAGTGAAAGTTACTCTGCCAGCATTTTTGCACGAATTTTGGACAAGTATAATTTTTGCTACACATATCATTTTGAGCTAATTCTTTATTAATTTTATTCTTGGTTATCTTGGAAACATTTTTTCTATTGAACATAGTTGCTAATTCGGCCATTAAGTTGGTTGAATTCTTGCATGACTGAGACAAGGTTCATTAGAATTTTCAGTGCTGTAGACTCTAAAGTGAAAAAATACTAGGAAGAATTGACTGTGAATTTTTGCTTGAAATTTAGGCTGTATAACTGTCTGTGTGTTGACAGTTTCAGGTAAATATTTCAGCTCAATTTGATTTGGGACCAGAGAGTTGTACACTGAACAAGCACACAAGGTCCTCTGCTGACTCCCAGTGATATTCCAATTAGATGGGGCTAAATTTGGATGAGCATATCTCTTTCCCTATTTAGAAATTTTGTTTATAAAAATTCCTACATTTAATTCAGTGGTTTAGCTTCATTTTCTTAGTTTTTAGATTTTTCTAATTTTGTAATTTTCAGCTTCGAAAAATTTCCACAGAAATATTGTTTCAGTGTGTTTCATTTTTTTTGCCAGTTTTTCAGAATTTTGCATATTTTCGCATTTTTTATTTTTCTTCAATCTAGTGCTATTTCTGTGGTGTTTTGAGCTTTATATATGTCTTGTGGGACTTGCAAAGAAGTAAGACAATCTGTGATCTTCAATATTGTAGTGTTATTTTGCAACTAGCCGATCGGAGCACTAGGAAGCCTAAGGGATTCTTAGAAGACATCTTAGTGTCCACTTGACATTGTGGGAATTGTTGGAAGTTTTGAGCAAGCTTGTGGCAAGTGTTGACAACCTAGGACAAGCTCGTGGCAAGTGTTGGTATAGCACGAACGAACATTGACAACTTATGGCAAGATGGTAGTAAGTGTTGACAATTCCCATGGAAGTGTTGGCAGCCTCGAGCAAACTTGTGGCAAGTGTTGGCAAGGCCCATTCAAGCAATGGCAACCTTGAGCAAGCTTTTAGAAAGTATTGCCAAGGCCGATGGAAGCATTCACCACCTCGAGTAAGCTTATGGCAAGTGTTGGCAAGGCTTATGGAAGCATTGGCAATCTTGAGCAAGCTTATGTCAAGAGCCAGCAACCTAGGGCAAGCTTGTGGCAAGTATTCGCATAGCATGAACCAGTATTGATAACCCATGGCAAGCTTGTGAGAAGTGTTTGAAAGGCTCATGGAAGCATTGGTAGCCTCGAGCAAGCTTGTGAAAAGTATTGGCATACCACCAACGAGAATTGGCAACCCATGGTAGGCTTGTAGCAAATGTTGGTACAAAAAAAATTCCAGAATTATCATCCAAATCAAACAATTCATCCAAAGAAATTAAATCACACAAAGAAGCAATAGTATGATAATGAATGGACGTAGAATTGTCATGTGCTTTAATGTAGTCAATATCAGATGAATTGTGCATATCAATTGAGTTTTCATGCTCATGTGAATGTAAACTATCATGCTCTTTCAAATTAGACAGAATTGAAACCATGTTATTGCAATTCACATAAGTAAACTTATGGGTGCAAGAACATGTAGAATCAAGCATGGAATCATTAATCTCACAAATAGGAAGCACGGAGGCCTCATCAACAAGTACATCCTCAATAATCTCAATGAAATGAAGGCTATAAGTCATAAAACAGTTTTTCATGCTATCAAAAATGTTAAATTCAATTTTCTTATCTAAAAACTCCATGGTGAGTTTACCTTCTGTCATATTCAACATAGTACTTGAAGTCATCATGAATGGTCCCCCTAGAATAAGTGTGCTTGCCCTCCCTCTTGCATATCTAACACATAAAAAATCACCGAAAACACTACATCTTTCACTTTTACTAATATGTCCTCATGAATGCCCTTAGATCTCCTTGTGCTTCGATCAGCAAGTTGAAGTATGACTCCACACTCTTTGAGGCCTCCCACATTGAGAGAAGAGTAGATGTGAGTAGGCATGACATTAATGGCTAACCCAAGATCAATGAGAGCTTCTTGCACAACCATACTCCCAATTTGACAAGAAATGGTGTAAGCTCCTGGATCTCTACACTTGATAGGAAGTTGTGGCTTGAAAATGGCACTTACACCATGACTCATTTGCACAGTGGCTAAGGGCTTGAATCCCTTCTTATTTGTGCACAACTCCTTTAAAAATTTGGCACATTTGGGCATGCTTTTGATCATGTCAAGCAATGGTATGTTCACTTCAACTTTCTTCAACATGTCAAATATGTCTTACCTATCATCTTCTTGGCTTTCCTTCTTGACAAATCTTGTCAATGGCTTAGGAAATGGCATGTCCCTAGGGATAGGATCCCCAAGTTGATACTCTTTTGGAGGCTCTCTTCTTTCCAACTCTTCTTTCTCCTTACGCTTACTTGAATCAAGATCATTAGCCTTGGAAGGATGGGAAACTGTGGCTGTTCCATTAATGTTTTTATCTTGTTTTGAGCTCATTTCTTCTTCTTTTGCTTGAGCATTCAGATCTATTCTTGCTTTATTTTCATCATCATCATCAATCGCTTGCGAATTATTAGAGACAAGAGGCTTACTATCACAAGGCAAAAGGAGAGGCATGCTTTCATCAATAGCTTGAGGATTTCTTTAAGAATCAACAAGAGGCATGCCGTTACAGAAGTTAGAAGCACTTGGACTAGCATTTAGAACTTTTTCACTCCTCAATTCAATAGCACAAATATTCTTTAGATTGATAACCGGTTGAGTTGCGAGCTTTCCACTTCCTTGAGATTGACTAATGCTATTTGAATTTCCAAATTGTTGCACCACAAAATCAGTGCTTTGTTGTTTTGATTCAAGATTCTCCAACCTCTTGATCAACATATCCAACTTAGAATCACCATTGAAAATATAAGAATTCATCTTTTGGCTAAAGTTGCTCATGGTGTTCTCAAACTCCTCAAGGTAAGAGTGCATTTGGTTATCACCCCCGCCATCTTGAATAGAAAAGCATTGGATATCCTCTAAGCTGCCTCCATAACTAAAAATAAGGTATTGCATCCAACTTGGATTGTACTTGCCCCCATAATTATCCTCAAATAAATTTCTATCCCATTGATTGTTTTGGAAGCTATAGGGCCTTTGTTGTTGATAAGCAGCCCTAACATTGTGATTTCCATAGGAATGCATGCAAGTAGAAGTGGTATGCATAGTAGAGTTACAAATCCCCCAACTAGGAGCCTCAAAAGCCTTGAACATGAAGGAGCCTTGAGGATGAGATGGGCTAGCAATGGACCTTTGCAGAAAATTAAGTTGAGCATAAATGTCCTCAAGTTGAGCATTAGGCCTGTCAAAATTATTAGCATGAAAGTACCCAACCATGTTATCCAAAAATCAATAAATTTTCAACCAAAATGTTTAAAGAAGAAGAATATTCCCTTGCAAGTTCTACAAGACTTATACAGCTGAGAACACCCAAGAAATGATACTGGAATTAAGAAAAACTAAGACAATGAAATTAAGCAAAAATCTGAAAAACTGGTAGAAATGAAACACACCAAAGCAGTATTTTGTAAATTTCTTTCAAAAGTGAAAAAGACAAAATTAGCAAAAACTAAAAACTTACAAATTAAAGCTAAAACACTGAATTAAATGAAGGAATTTTTCTAAGAAAAATTTCCAACCAAGGAAAGACATGCTTATCCAAAGTTAGCCCTATCTGCCTAGAGTGTCATTGGGAGTTAGCAGTGGACCTTTGGTACTTGTTTAGTACACAACTATATGGTCTTGAATCAAATTGAGCTAAACTTTTTACCTAA